TAACATAACAGAACATTCCTTCCCATATCACTTATTGTGAGGATACGGTGATTGTTCAGGTGGATCTTAACATAACAGAACATTCCTTCCCATATCACTTATTGTGAGGATACGGTGATTGTTCAGGTGGATCTTAACATAACAGAACATTCCTTCCCATATCACTTATTGTGAGGATACGGTGATTGTTCAGGTGGATCTTAACATAACAGAACATTCCTTCCCATATCACTTATTGTGAGGATATGGTGATTGTTCAGGTGGATCTCGATGTAACAGAACATTCATTCCCATATCACTTATTGTGAGGATGCGGTGATTGTTCAGGTGGATAACAGAACATTCATTCCCATATCACTTATTGTGAGGATATGGTGATTGTTCAGGTGGATCTCGACGTAACAGAACATTCCTTCCCATATCATTTAGGAAACTTTTGTTTTATCAACCATATATATAAGCAGTACAATGATTTAAAGTAATGTTTCAAATTGAGATTCCAGCAGTTTACACAGATAACTCTCAGAACCACGACAACAACATGACACTGTTACCAAACTGATTCTTATCATGTCTCTTGGATTAACAGTCCCTTGAAGGAAAACCTGGGACGGCATAATCACACCAAAGCTGACGAGCATGTTCGTAGTAATGACCTTGGGCACGAAGAAATCGTTTGGCTGCTACAGTTAAACATCTGTCTTTAGACAATACTCTACAAAGGAAGCTGAAGTGTGATATATAAAGAACCACCACTGAGGTAGCTTAAAGCAAGCATTGTCTGGAGCTGCTAATGAAGTGACAATGTATCAGCACATTGGTATCCAAGAGGAATGGTGACCATGTCCACAAACAGAGTGGATCATTCTACATGGTTAAAGTATTTGCTGTGAAGGATTTATATGTAAAGTTGACTGATGACAGAGAGTAACATTCACAATGGTAAGCCTGCATGCATCAAAAACTTTAAGGAGACTTTTAATTATGTGGCAATCATACAGTCAGTTAAAAATACCTTTGGTTAATACAGCAAGAAAAATGTGTAACCGTGTAGCAAGCACACTTCGGGTTCAGCTAGATGAGGACAGAGAAGTAGAGTGAAAGTAATCGTGTAGCAAGCACACTTCGGGTTCAGCTAGATGAGGACAGAGAACTAGAGTGAAAGTAATCGTGTAGCAAGCACACTTCGGGTTCAGCTAGATGAGGACAGAGAACTAGAGTGAAAGTAATCGTGTAGCAAGCACACTTCGGGTTCAGCTAGATGAGGACAGAAGTAGAGTGAAAGTAATCGTGTAGCAAGCACACTTCAGGTTCAGCTAGATGAGGACAGAAGTAGAGTGAAAGTAATCATGTAGCAAGCACACTTCGGGTTCAGCTAGATGAGGACAGAAGTAGAGTGAAAGTAATCGTGTAGCAAGCACACTTCAGGTTTTGCTAGAT